CGGGGGTCGCGGTTGGGGTGCAGGGGGGAGAGCCTGGGTGTTCCGTGACGGAGGTTTGAATGGCAGGAGTCGGGCGGCGATGAGAGCAGCTCCTCTGGATTTTTCTGGTGCGGAAGTGTAGGAATGTGGGAAGGGAATGGCTCCTCAGGCCGAATTCGCATCCCCTTCCCGTGCCACTTTCTTTTAGATTGCTAGATAAAAGCCATGTGAGAGCGTGTTGACGACTTGCAGTTATTTCATTTTGAAGGTGGAGAGGAGGGGGAAGTGAGGGTGGAACCAGTTTTCTTCTGAAATACTGGGCTGTGAGTCACTGGAACAGGAATAACAACCTTCACTCCCTTCCCTCTTGACTCCTCCTCTTAGTTTTCCAGCCCTGTCTAAGAGTACCAAAGCACCATTCGTAAAGCCTGGCTTCTGTGCAGAGTAAAAACTGCAAATATGTTGCTGTTACCGCTGATCTATAGCATATTCTGATCATTTCGGTAGCTATAGCTAATAGGCCCATCGAAAGTGTTTCCACAATTTCCTCAAGTTAAGGAATGTTAGCCTGAGTTGGAGTTAAGAAAAGCAGATGTAAAGATAGAACACAAATATATGTTACTTTATCTTAGGAGCAAACAACCAAAATCTTTTTCCATGTAAGATAAGGTTGGTAAGTTTAAAGAAGTTGATAAAGAGAAAATTAAATTTTTTTGGTAGAATATAGATCCTTGGAGTTTCCAGTGTGTATTTGATGTCATATCTTCCTAATTATTATTGTCGGCTTTTTAGTGTATCACGAATATTTCCTTTTGGTTTACTCATAGCAATAGGTTTCAATGCTTCTAAATTAGGGCTGCTGAAGTAGGAATATTTTTTTGAATTTCATATCATCTTGGGGTTCAAGTATAAAGCTGGTTTATTTCAACAATTTGATGCAGACACTGTAACGATAAAGGAGAATACTGTCCTGGCTTAAAGGTGATAAATTTTGCATAAGGATAGCTATGTTCCAGTTGCTCACCTGGATGACAGAGGGTTAATTGCCTCTAAATCCAGTGCAGTCTGGAGAGTAACTGTGCCTAACAGTTTGTTACATTTTATGTGGCAGGGGTGCAGTGTCATTACAAAGAAGCTCTCTGCATTTACCAAAGAGCCTTGGTTATAAATTTATGTAGGTTGGAAATAATTTAATTTTAGATAGCTTTACTTACAGGTTGCATTTACCTGAACTTTTTTGTGAGATTACATTCCTTAACAAACTTGGAAATTGGTTTCTGTATGAACTTTATCCAAAAAACCCAGCAAGTCAAACATTACTAAAAGTTACTAGGCTTGTGGTATTGTGGTTAAAGGAAATGGTTATGATGGTTTCCAGAAGAGGAAGTGAGAGTAACATCAAAAGTGATTTGGGTATTTGGGCAAAATACCATTTTTTAAAACATTCATTATACATTTTTATAGTATGAATACACTCAAACGTATTTCACCTTCATAAATAAGATTAAACGAAGATGTAGGCATTTGAATTTTTATAATTCCAGTTCACTGCTTTTTCTCAAAAGTGTATTTTCTTTCACTTCCTGTTTTGAAAAGCTTCAGGATCTTGTATTATTGAACTAGTAAAATTTAAAATGAGTTGAATATAATCATTATATTCAAGTGTCAAATATTTTGAGTTACTGAAATGTTACATTTCAGCACTCAACACATATTTATAGTTTGTTGAAAAATATTTTGTCTACCTTGCCTGATTGTGAGTTGCCTCTGGGCAGGGACAGTGTTACTCATTTTTGAATTACTACTACTTTGGGCTTTATCTGGCCCATGAGGCCTTCAGCTAGGCTTTGTTGAAATGGATGAATACAGTATCTGTTTTATATATATATTTAACATATATATAAATGTGTGTGTATATATATATAACCTTGCTCTGGTTTTAATAATAATAGATTTGGGTTTGCTCTCCTTATATAATTTTGCATACAAATACATCCGATTTTGAATCTTTCAGCCTATGGAGAGGTGTCTGTAAGACTGGCATATCTTCCCGGCTGGCTAGGGATTGAAACATTTGCTCAAAAATCTTGCCAAAAAGAGTGAGTAAGATCTGTTCACCATGTGTTTGTAAGGTTCATGCTGTCTGCATTTTTATGACAGTATAAACCACATAATCTTTTCAATCTCAGTCCCTTATAGTCCTCAAAAAAACCTTCCACCATATAATACATCTACCAATCAATTATATTTTTATTAATGCATGTGTGCATTAGATTGTCTATCAGATCTGATTACTTTGCTCTGTTTCATTTGGAAGTGTGCAGTGGAAATGTTTTAGTGAGCATACACAATGAAAAATACTTCAGTGACCTATAATCAAGAATATGCTTTAATGCTCCTTAGGGGGAATGTAACATGGTTACTAAGTAATGTTTCTCTTTTTTTTTTATTTATTTATCATTTGGAAAATTTTTGAGATCTTAATATGTACAGGTTATGGAAATTTTAAGGAACTTGTCTAATCAGGGATGTAGGAGCACTTTAAGGGAGGATTTTAGGGAAAAGACATGAAAGTGGTAGGTAGTTTTACATTGAAATTTATTTTTTCTGAATTCCTTAAAGTTTTATTTTTTATTAAAAATATGTCTTCCCTTTTCCACACCTCATAATACCACTCACTTGTGTAATGATTTTAAAATATTTTTCAGGCTACTTTTATATCTGTTAATGTGGCATGGCAGGCAGTGTGGTGGTGGTGGTGGTAAAGTGTACTGGAACAGAAGTTAGGAGACCTGCATTCCAATATTCAGTCTGTCACTGAGTCCTCTAACATTGAGTAGGCATCTTGACTTCCCTGAGCTTCATTTCTCCTCATCTGTGAAATGGGAGGAAAGTAACTGTGAAAGGAACACTAAACTCTAT